ATGGCCTCGGGATCTTCTAATATAGAACTTTAATTTGAGTTCTACCAATGGGTAGTTTATCTTCATGTTGTACATGTCATGTTACCAATTTCACATTTACTTATTGTATTTTCTATGTAATACAGTTGTAAATTCCATTAAAATAATAATAAAAAATAAAATAAAAAAAAAGGAACATTTTACTAAACCTTCCTTTTAATTGTACAACATATCTTTAGCTTCTCTTGACAAAATTTTTGGTTTGTAAATAGGTTTTATGCTTACAGTTCAAGTTGACGTAATTACTAAGGAATCCCTTTAAATTTGGCAGTAAAATTCAAACATAAAAACTAGCGAAATACCTACATCAACGTCATCATCACCTTGACAACGGAAAGCGTGAAAGGTTAGTTTATAAATTGAATATTTTATTAAGAGAAGCTAAATGTATTCGGTTAAATTTGACGTTTAGTAAAGGTTCCTCTGAGAAGATGGCCTCGTGATCTGCTTATAAAAAACCAAAAAAAAAACCTGTACCACTACAATCCATGAAGGGTCTTCTTGGGTTCAGTACTATTTAGGGAAAGCACTGTTTCTTGGTCTACAGTTGTGCAAGGAGGTGATTTGACCGATATCACGCTCAACCGCCAGGTTTTTCGCCTTGATTAATTATTTTAATTAAGTGTACCCACTTTATAGAGGCTGGGTGTGCCCCAGGGGTAGTGTTGCCCAAATGCGAGACCGAGACGAGTCTTGGTCTTGCAAGCTTAGTCTTGGTCATGGTCTTGGTCTTGCGCAAGAATCTCTTAAGAGTTACTTATTATCTTTATTATTTCTATAGCTTTATTATAAGAGTTACTTATAATATCATATTCAGTAAATTTTTTTGATGGAATCGCCAAGATTTTGTGTAAATACCTGAGGTTTGTACCTCGGAAAAAGTGTGGCAACAATTTCAAAAACCAATATTTTCAATTTTACGTATTTCCTTTAAATGGTATTTTCTCACAGTAATGATTATTCAAATTAAATTCTATTCTGAGAACGTTTCTCTGTTGTGAGGTTTTTTTTAGGTGATAGGGCTTTGAAGACCAACTCGGTTAGCGCTTTTAATTTTATTAATAATAATAATAATAATAATAAGGCTTAGCGAACCCGAAGGTTCGATGCCGACACCACCAATCGCTTGTTACATACCTCCCTCCACCGTTCGCCTTCCAAACCCAGTTCCTTCAGATCGGCTTTAATGCAATCTTCCCACCTTCGCTTCGGTCTTCCCCTCGGACGCTTACCATTCGGCACAGCAAATATTAACCTTTTAGGAATTCTCTCGTTACTAAGCCCAACAACTTTACAAGCCCATTTGATTCGCCGCGATGAAATTACCTCAATTATATTACCCGGATACATCTCACGCAATTCGGCGTTGTGTAACCGTCTGAACTCTCCGGTTAACTCATCCTTCTTCGGTCCGAATATTCTACGCAATACTTTATTTTCAAAAACCTTAAGACGCTGCTCATCCCTTAATGTAAGTGGCCAAGTTTCGCATCCATAAAGAACTGTAGGCAAGATAATTGTTTTATAGATTCTAATTTTTAAGTTTCGGGACAAGAGGCGCGAACTAAGTAGTTTTGTCACAGAAAAATAACAAGCATTCCCCGCCTTCAGTCTAACCTTAATCTCTTCTTCAATTTCGTTTTTTCTAGTTATCGTAGAACCTAGATACCTAAATTTATCTACCTGTTCAAACGTATTACCATCTATATCGATATCACCAGTAGTATCGCCATTTTTGCAGCTAACCATATATTTTGTTTTATCCACGTTATTTCGAGTCCTAGTTCTTTACCGGCTTTCATTAACGTTGTCGTATTTAGTTTTATAGTTTCAACGTCTTCGCTTAACAGTACCAGATCATCAGCATAGCCCAGCACGGATGTTGTCCCGCCCAGATCCAACCCTTTCTCGGTTCGCATTACTTCCCTAATGGCATGTTCCAATGTCAAATTGAACAGGACAGGCGAAAGAGAATCCCCCTGTTTTAAGCCCGAACGAACCTCAAATTTTTCGGACAAATTATTACCGATTCTAACTTTATTGAGTGTCTCCGTCAAGCACATCCTGACTAGATTTACTAGTTTTTTTGGAATCCCCTGCTCGATTAGAATATTATACAGTTTCTGGCGGTCAATAGAATCTTAAGCCTTTTTAAAATCTATATACAGCTGGTGAACAATACCGTTATACTCCAATTTTTTCTCTAATATTTGCCGTAAAGAAAATATTTGATCAATAGTCGAACGATTCCGTCTAAATCCGCATTGGTAGTCTCCGATAATTTCCTCGGCGTATTCCGTGATTCGACTGGTTAAGATTAAAGTGAATATTTTATAACATACCGGAAGCAGTGAAATTCCTCGATAGTTATTACAATCCGTCCTCGGACCCTTTTTGTGAATCGGAATAAGAATAGATTCTTTCCATTCTTCAGGTAATTTCTCGTTCACCCAGATCTTTTTAACCAACCGATGTATTTTAGAAACTCCAGCTTCTCCGCATGCCTTAATTAGTTCAGTAGGAATATTATCGATTCCCGCTGCTTTATATGATTTTAATTTTCCGATAGCTACTTCAACTTCCTCTTTACTTGGTCCTTCTATTAACGGTTCAGCACTCTGGTACTCAGAAGGAGGACACAGATCATAATTTCCCGTATTTAAAATATTGTCAAAGTGGTCCTTAAACTTATTCAATATATCAACCGGATCGGTCAGAATATTGTTATTATCATCCCTAATTCCAGACGTTACGGGCCCTACATATTTACGTGATCTGTTTATACCTTTGTACATTTCTCTTACGTTATTTTCAATTCTATTAGTTTCTATTTCAATTATTTTATTTTTAAGATACTCCCTTTTTTTATTTTTGAACAATTTTGTCGTTTCGTTCTTTGAGATTCGGAAGTATTCCAGATTGTCTTCGCTAGGATTATTTAGAGCTTTTAATTTAGCGGCTTTTCTTTTTTCACACATGTTTAAGCAATCTTCATCAAACCACGGTTTGTTATTCTTATTTTCCTTTTTTCCTAGACACGAGTTACCGACCGCTTTAATATTATCTCTGATCTCTATCCATAACTTGTCAATATCCTCGTGCTCCTCGTCAGGAAGCTCTAAAGCTTCAAACCTATTCTTAACATCTAGCTCGAATTGGTTTCTAATTGATGGATTTTTTAATTTTTCCAAATTAAAATTCTCAAAATCGAAACGGTTTTCTTTTCTCTTTTTTATATTAAGTTTTTGTCGAAGTTTCGCGATTACTAATTCATGATCCGACCCACATTCTGCTCCGCGATAAGAGCGTACATTAATTATACTGCTTTGCCAGCTATGTTGTATCAAGACATGATCGATTTGATTTCGTGTTTGCGAATCCGGTGATGTCCAAGTATATTTATGAATATCCTTATGTTTAAACGTCGTACTTTTAATTATCAGGTTTTTCGAGATGGCAAAGTTTATCAGACGGATCCCATTATCATTACTATATTCGTGCAAACTTTCTTTACCAATCGTCGGAATATAAACTTCTTCCCTTCCTACCTTTGCGTTCGCGTCACCTACAATTATTTTCATGTAGTTTCGTGGTAGTTTATCATAAACCCATTCGAGTTTATCGTAAAATTCACTTTTGACTTCATCGTCACTGTCTTCGGTCGGACAATGTATGTTTATTAATGCGATTTTAAACCAACGTCCCTGAAATGTAGCTACCGAAATTCTATCACTAAAGAATTGTACGTCCCTCAAAGCGGATAGTAATCTACGCCTAATTAGAAACCCGGTACCTAAACAATGATTCCCGCTTCCTCCGTACCAAATAGTGTACTTCCCTTCTCTCATCGAGCCCTCCCCTGGCCAGCGAACCTCTTGCAGAGCCACGACATCCAAATTGTACCCATTTACCTCATTCGCGACCGATTTTAGCCCCCCTGCTGTGTTTAAACTCCTTACGTTCCACGTACCAATATTTAAATCCCTATATTTCAACTTGCACCATGAATCCCCTAAAGCAGTCCCCACCCGGAGACCCGAACGGGGGACTAGTTTACCTCCGGATAATGAGCGTTTTACCTTAGGGAGATCCATGACTTTTTGTGGTGTTTGGTGAACTAAAGATATGTGAGTAGGGCGTTCAATCCTACGTCACACCCTCCAGCAAGTCTGGTGGGCCCCTACCTCCAGCAAGTCTGGAGGTCCCCTCCCTCCAGCAAGTCTGGAGGGCCCCTCTCATTGTTGGTCAGCGAGTCCATCGGACCTAGCCGGGAGGAACTTCCAAGGAATTTCCACCGACCATCCCCACATCCGCCACCCGTGGGACGCTCCCCATACGCGGTAATGAGACCGCGCGAGGTTTTAATTTTATTGCTATAGAAATATTACTGTAATTTTTCAGATAGGGGAAATCTAACTAAGCCCGAATGAAAAATTAGAGGGGTTAAATGCAAAAGTATATTGATTATACCAATTATTTACACATACTAACTAAGATTGTCAAGTATTAGTAACTATTTTGTCTTAATTTTTATTTAAAAAATCGATTTTTTTTACCAGTCCTGGTCTTGGTCTTGCAACAGTTAGGCGGCCTTGGTCTTGGTCTTGCAAAGTGCAAGACCAAGACCGATTTTGGGCAAAACTACTCAGGGTCACTGAAACAGAATAAATAATTTTCTGCCATGTGTCGGGATTCAAACCTGGGACCTTTTTGCTTTGCTCAGTACCCCAGCTACCCCACTCCCCCATGATCTCCTTATATGGAAATATTATTAGAGCGCTACTAGTGGGTAGTTTCTCAACAAGCGTTTTGATGCGATTATATTCCTGTATATATATTTACTTGATGTATTTATATTGTAATATAGTTGTAAATATCTTGAATAAATATTTTAAAAAGTTAATAAAGGAACTAAATCTAAGATTTAGTTAGGTTTCTTTATGAATATTATGTTCTCTTACCTTGACCTGAGGAAACTTGTGGAACCTGGCAAGGTTGATGGCGTATCCGTTAGCGATGGAACCTCCGGGCGAAAATATGCCGTCACCAGACGACCATCCTACGATCTGTCGCATCTTGGCCAATACCATCTCCTCCATGAGGGTGAAAACGGGCGCCACTTCGTAGGTGTAGACGCTGGCGTTGAGTGTGTCCGTCACCCATTGGCCCGCCAAACCAACTCGGTCCACGCTAAAATAAGAAACCTCTATGTAATATAGAAAATTATAATATAGATGCCGAAGTATAATATTTAATCATCTCTCGACTTACGTGGAATAGAGCTGGTTGAGGAAGTAAGGGTGAGCTATGTTGACGCTGTAGCGCAGAGTGTCTGAGATGCAATCCATTAACTGTTCCATGGAGGCTGGCTGATCGTTGAACTGCAAGTCCAGGATCTTCTGGAGCCTTTCCGGATCAACCCATCTTGAAACCTTACTGTCCCGCCTTTCCGCCTAAAAAAATAAATAAAAAATAAAATAAAAAATTATCTGATACTATATATATACAAGTGATACAAAATAAAACCTAACCAGACACAGATCCGACCATGAAAACACCAACTCTAACTTAACAAAATTAGGAACGAGATCCAAATCCCTGATTTACCAGAAACAGAAAAGAGGTTATTATGAAAGGATTGACAAGCATGAGGTGATGGCGATGCACTCTAACTTTCAAATCATGAACTATAAAGATCTATCCCACACAGATCATATAGCAGAGGGGGAGACATTTCGACGGAGTTATGAATTTTGAGATTGAAAAATTTCAAATGAGGAGACTAAGAGAATACATGGAACAAACCTCAGCAAGTGTAATTGTATATCGTTTAAGGTAATTTGATTTCTGATGTTTTTAAGAACAGGAGAGCAATAAAATATCTTGGGAGGGGAGGAAAGAGGTTCTTGCGCCATCGACCTTGGGGGGGATGCGCATCACTGGCTCTAAGCTTCCCATTAATGACAAAAGACTCATATACATGACTACAATAAGACCTATTTGGACTTACGGAGTTGAGCTATGGGGCTCCACCAAACCATCGAATTCCTCTCGTATCCAATCCTTACGATCCAAAATACTTAGTAAAATCCTTAATGCTTCTAAATTTTCAACAAATAAAATAATTTTTAACAGCCTGAATGTTTCATATGTTTCCGATCTGGCCCAATCCAGATACCTATCCTTCCATCATAAACTTCAGAACCATCCGAATCCTCTTGTTTCTAATCTTGCTTACTCCTCGATCCCTGATAACCCCCTTATGAAATTATGAAAATTTATTAGAGTGCTCAAATTCTCTACAAGCCTTGTTGTCATGCCATGCACTAACGGATCCAGGACTTAATTTCAGGGCTTTAGTCTGAAGGTTTTTTTTTATGTAGATATTACGATAATTACTTCGGAAGAAATAAAAAACTAAGTACCTATATGAAATAGTGTTTAAATTATTCTTTAAGTCCTATTAAATCTAATTAGACGAACAATAATACTTTTAGAGATAATTTTTTCAGAAAACATGGTTATATTTTACCATTTTGGGAAGAGGAGGGGGGCTTCAAACCGAAAGCCCTCCCCCTAGATACGCCTGTGATGCCTGTATTTCTCTGTATCACAGTTACTAAATGAATGTATATTAATTTTTATACTATTGTATATTTCATAACAAATAATTTAAAAAAAAAAATTACTATACAAGGGAACTTCACGACACTGGGCTTTTTTTAAGTCTCATAATTAAATGATAACAGTATCCCTATAAAAATATACACATTTTAAAAAGTTACTGTTGAAAACATTGTTTATTTAAGAATTTAAAATAAAAAAAATCCTCCCCTCCACTGGTTACCAAGGAAACTGTACGAAGGTAAATGATTGGTTATTTATTGGTATTTTAGAGGCGCAGAGCTTTGTATTAAGATCTTCCGATATACGAGTTGTGGTTGATATTTCTTTGGTGCTTCAATAATTATATAAGTAACTCTATATTATTTTATTCTTGAATGTGATGTGTGAAATTATTTTACAATACATAAATTACATTATAAATTCGTTCTTCACTTGTTATATCTATCTTTGTATTAATTGTTTGGGTTCGATTCTTTCCTGATGTTTTTTTTTGTTTTTTTCATATCCTATAAAAGATCTCGAATAGTAATTAGTGGAGGCCAGTGCCCCAAAGAGGTAGAATTAGTCGTCCTTCGAACGACCGGACTTGACCTTAATGTTTGAAAAAACACCATATAAACAAGAAATAGATACTATGTAATATCCTAGAGGCTAGATAATCGATTTATAATAAAAATAAATTAAAACATAATCACAACATTGGTTGGTCATTAGAGTTGTCAAAACTTATTTCGTTATTATAACCTCCAATCCTAAACCGAACCGGAAAGATTTGGAACCATTCACGGGATGAAAAAAGTTCTTTTGGAACAGGTTTCTGTTTCAATTCAATTCCGTTTGTTTTATTTTTATTACATTCGCTTTACAGTGACGCGTATGAAATATTACCTTAACATATACTCTCTAACAATTGTGTTTTTTTTTCTTGTGTCTGTTGACGTTTTGAAAAAAAATCAAAAGGAGTTGGGGTCAGGAATTTTTTTCGATAATACCACATCGAAAAATATTGGATATACCCCACCGTTCGTTCCAATGAGTCTTATAGGAAAAAAAAAAAAAAAAAAAAAATATATATATATATATATATATATATATATATATATATATATATAAGTTAAGGTCCGGTGTGAGATAGATAAGACTTTTAAGACTTAATATTATTTGTTTCAATTAAAAATAATCACATTATTATTTCTTGCAATTTAAAATAAACACATGTTAAAATATGTTAAAAAACACATGTTAAAAACATATACGGATATAACCTTTTTGAGTTAGATACTACTGTTTGTTGTTAAATAAAAACTATTGAATTATTTTCAGTTATTTGTTTCTTCATTTTTCTATTTATCGAAGCCAATAGTTAACTTATATATATATAAACATAATTATTCAATTTGGGAATTAGGTCACTTAATTATTATTGAATTTTTTTTTTTAAGCTAACAATGAGATTCTCTTCAATGTTTTAAAATAGAGCCTCGATACCTCAGGCCAGCTATGTCCGCAAACGCTTTGTTTAGGAGAAATTCACACCAAAAAAATTCCATTGTTATGAATTTTTTACGTTATATTAAGGAAATAAAACTTATTTATTTGTTCCAACTACTTTATTAATTAAACGTAAATATTAAATCCATATTAAATGTTGTTCAAAGTGTTCCACGACAATACCATACGTTAATTATCCCTATGGGTTGGCCGTGCATGACCAGTGGCTTGACCTGCACGCTCTCAAGACCAGACACCATTGAATTTTGTTTGGAGTGACATTATACAAAAAGTCTATGCAAGTCCGGTCAATAACCTTAATTCCTTACGAAGATGGCCAGTTAAATCTTGTAAAGTAATAAAACATATCCAGTGCCGTTCTGCCACGAAAGATGCCGAGCCTGTCTTAATGCTCAAGGAAATCACTTTGAACAACATTTAATATGAATTTAAATGTTTAAATTTAATTAATAATGTAGTTGGAACAAATGAACAAGTTTTATTTATTTCATATTACGTAAATAATTGATAACAACGAAAATCTTTAGGTGTCAATATCTCCTAAACAAAGCGTTTACCGACACACCTTCAGAGGAAATTTTTTTTCTTGTTTTGAGGTCCTTAGTTCATTTTTGCAGTTTGGCCATTTAACCCTTTAACACCCTATATAATAACTGATTCTGTTTCATTGGCCGTGGGGCGACCCTGGGTAAGTAGACCCTCCTGGTTCACACCCTGCCTCTATAAAGTGGGTACCCTTAATTAAATAATTGATTAAGGGGAAAAACTCGGCAGTTGAGTGTGATCTAGGTCAAATCACCTCCTTGCACAATCGTAGACCAAGAAACAGTGCTTTCCCTAAATAGTACTGAACCCAAGACCCTTCATAGATTGCAGTGGTACAGTTTTTTCTTATTAAAATATAATAATACTCAGGGATCGATTGAAGACATTTTGTACATACATATATATGAGTTATAATGTATTATATATTACGAAAACCTAGAGGCTTCTAGTAAACTAGGCAAATTAAATTTTCGTTATGAAACGGCAAATTAGATTCCTTTCTAGGACCCTTTCAAGTTCTTTAATATGAATTTTATAAACATCGTAAATTGCAAAATTTAATACTTAATTTTCCTAGAGTATGTTTTTATCCAGCCGTTAACCAATGCCTTCAAAACTTCTCAGGATTTTCGCCAAATTCAAAATTAATACAACGTTGGAAAGCTGAATTACTGCTCTTACAACACAAATTGATTTGCATATTGATTCATAAATCTGATGGATTGATTATGAAGTTTTATTCTTAGAAATATAATCGAGTCTTAAGAAACTATATTAAAATAAATTGATGCATTTCATTTACTTTTGATCTCTGGGGTTTGTATGTGAATTTTATTTAATACTTTTTATTTTTTCCTCGTTCTTTTCCGACTAAAGAATGTTAGCTGTAATGTGCCCTAATGCTCGGTTACTTTCCTACTGGTTCTGAAATCAGTTCTAAGTAGGCTTCGGGAATCCCGTGACTTCACGGGAATAGACCTGTTCCTTCTGCTTAGCTGAATGATCTCTACATGTCTAAATATTTCTATGATCGCTTATTTGCCTTTGGAATAAGTAAGGATAAGTTCCTGAACTCAGCACTGAACTCATTTATATGCATCGAAAATCAAAACAGACTTTCCGTTTTGAATGGGAGGAGATGGACTAAAAAGATAATGGCGGTAGTTCATATTATGTGTGCAAATTCGACATAATTATTGTGAAACGAGCAAATATAATATTGGTTATTTAAAAATAAATTTATAAATATGTTTAGAAATTTGTAGTATTTTTTTGAATACTTAATAGTTGACCGTTGCATTATAAAGGAAGGAGATGGTCCGGGGTGGCGGTCATAAATAGGCTAAATAGAACGGACAAGATACATCTATTTCATTTTGTATCTTGTCTGTTCTAGCCCTGAAGAAGACCTGCAAACTCGGGTCGAAACTTTGGCTTTTAATAAAATAGTTTTGCCACTATTTATGACCGCATAAAGTAACATAAAAAACTCTTTTTCTAATATCGTTATTTCATTATTGAATTATATTACGAATTTTGCTATCGATAATTATTAAATTAAATCGATGTTGAATCAGGTGTGGAAAACTCTACCTGTCCAGTCAGCTGATCTCAAGATCTTGTTGATATTAGCTCAGCGAGACAGACTCTTTTCCTGCTTTCTCAACCCCTTTAATCTATCATTACCTATATTATGATATTAATTAATTTTTTTTCTTTTAAATTGAAATTTAAACTACGCCTATTATATCAATGAAGATTTTAATTTTTTTTTTAACGAACTAGTGTCAAGGAGGAACTGTAATTTCATCGGTTTATTGACCAATACTTTTGTATAACATACCGTTACAAGCAATAACCATTAACGTAATTATATAGATATAATAACCATTAGCATAATTATACCTAAAACGCTTTCCTGTAACAAGGTAGTTGCTGGTACCTACTTGCTGTTCCTATAAACGAAGCACAAGGACAAACTTTTAAACATATTGAAGTCGACTCAAGAGAGACTTCGGACGTATAAATAAATTAGGTTTAAAACATCGTTTACTCAAAAGGTTTTTTAAAAATAATTTAAAATTACTTTTGCTTAAAAAAAAATATAAATAAACCTTATGTCAGCATAAATACATCAAAATGTCGACGATTAATAGGTTTTAATTTTTTTAATTTAATTTCGAATATTAGGCGTGCATGTGTTTAGGTGTGCATGTGTTCTTTTTATTTATTTATTTTTAGATTATTTTATTCTTATTTATTGTATATATATTATTTTTCTGTATAATTTATTTTATTTACTGTACATAGAGTGTGAATGTGATCTGTGAACACTATTATAAATGTCCCTGAGACAGATTGTAATATATTTCAATAAATAAGCTTATGAAAAAAAAATAATTTCGAATATATATCGTCGTTTTTAATGGGATTTTTTTTTTTTAAATAACAAAAATTATTTCGTATCGTAAAATAATGAATCTGACATTTTTTCACAATGTTTTGTCAGCTCTTTTTCGAATATAAGATTCTTTTTATTCTCGAATTTGAATAGGTTTATTAAAATGAATTTACTTTTGTTGATTTCAATAGATACTGGATCAAAATTCCTGACTATTTCTTCATTGTAAATAATCAGATCTAATAGGTTGTATATAAAAAAAAAAAAAAAAATGACCGTTTTTCAACCAAATCTTTGTTTTATTATTTCTTTGTTATAAAATACAATTGATACTCAAACTATAGTTCATTGTTATCTACCACCATTAGACATCTGCTAGCCAATTTGGTCGATCTCAAGCTGATACAATTCTTTGGGATGTCTGTCGAAGAAATCTTGGACCGCAATTTTAACTTCCGCAAAATTATCAAATATTTTCACCAGAAGAAAATATAATCCCTAGGGCCATGGCCCTAAATAAGTAGTAATCCGATGGCGCGAGGTCTGAACTATATGGTCCAATATAGGCGCGTGGTTTGGTGATGGTATAAGCGAGGGAAATGTTCATCATTTCATCCTCTTTATAATGAGGTGTTTTTATCATTTATATTTTATACGCGTAAACCAATGACTTCCTGCCCTACAGTTTCCTTTAACAATACTCTACTTATCCCTGTTGACCAAATCTCCTACTTAGGACTTCACTTGGACAAACGACTAACTTGGAATCCTCATACCAGACTGAAACGACAAGAAACCGCTCGACGTTCCCGATTACTTCAACACTTACTAGACAAACGATCTAACGTTCCAATTAATTACAAAAGACATATATACATGACTATAATAAGGCCTATTTGGACTTACGGAGTTGAGCTATGGGGCTCCACTAAACCATCGAATTCCTCTCGTATCCAATCCTTACAATCCAAAATCCTTCGTAAAATCCTCAATGCTCCCTACTTTGTTACAAATAAAACCATCCATAACGACCTTCTTATGTTTCAGATCTGGCCCATGGATTCCTATCCTTCCATAATAAACTTCAGAACCATCCTAACCCTCTAGTTTCTGATCTTGCTAACTTTTCAATTCCTGATAACCCTCCGAGGTGTCTGAAAAGAAGATGGTCCGGTGATCTCCTAATGTAGACATATCATTAGAGTGCTACCATTGGGTAGTTTACTCAGCAAGCGTTTTCGCGTCATTATATTCATTATGTTCAAATTTACTAGATGTATTTCTTTAATACAGTTGTACATATTATTAAGAAATAATAAAAAAAAAATATATATATTATTAATCTTGTTGATTTTTCCACTTATATCGTGTGGTCTAAAGCACATACCTTCGTTGTTTTGTTTTTTTAAATAGAATTTATTTATAAATTATAATATAATATTTGTGAAAGCCCAAAGCGGACCTTCACCCAGCGTGGATGAACCATCTAGTTGAGGCCTTGTTCCATTCTGCAACTTCTCATTATCCTGATTATTCTTTGTCGGATCTACAGGAGGGGGGAGGGGCTTTCGGACTAAAGTCTCCTCTAAAATGGTAAGACATAACCATGTCTTATGAAATAAATATTAATAATTTATCTCTAAAAAAGTATTATTATTCCTGTGATTTTATTTAATAGGACTCCAAGAACCATTTAAAAACCATTTCATATAGGTAATTAGTTTCTTTATTTTCCCCGAATTAATAATTGTTGTATATATAACCAAGTTTTTGGGCTCAATCCCCGCAAAATTTGTGTTTTAGTGGTAGAAATCTTTATTAATGATTATTTATTTCCTTCATTGTCTTAATATATTGAATCTTAAAATTTAATATATTCATACAGAATTAAATAATAATAAAAATTTATAACGTTGTAGAGATGTTTGACCGTTGATATAACATAAGGAGTTAATCGGGGGGTGCGGTCAAATAAATACTAAATTAAACTATAGTAATTATTTAATTTTTGCCGAGGTTTCTAACTTTTCGACTTATTTTAACTTTACTATAACCAGAAAATAATTTCTTTTCGAAGTAGAAATTAGTAGCTCTAAGTGAAAGTTGTGTGTTGCGCGCACCAGATTGTTTTTTTTTTATTAATAATAATTATAAATTTCTTAAAATCGCTATAGTTATTGTTATATGCTGACCTGCTCGGCGTGCTCGAGTACGATCTGCTGTACCCTGGTCAGGAACCTCACGGAGGTATCTGCTGGACCACTGGCCGCGAACGACGAAATCTCGGAGGCGGGCATCCTGCTGCGACTGTGTTGGCGCTGTCTGTCGGCCCTTCAATATATACCCTCGTCCCCTCCTCGTCGGCTCAGGGTCGCCGTCCCGATCTTCGGGGAAACTGTCCAGGTCATGGAGGAAACTCTTATGGTCACCCAAATCTGGGTTTCCCAGGACTATCTGAAACGATGGGCAGGAAATCTGTAGATAGAACTAAGGGAAGGCATATACAATGGCGTAAAAAAAGTCTTTGAACGAACTATTGTTTTGAACTATAGTTCAACATAGAATAGAATCAACCCGTTTTATGATATCTTTCCGTTTCATGCATTGCAGACACCAAATCCATTTTTTAAAAAAATTTTTGTTTGTCTGTATGTCCGCATTGCAACGAAATTTTGTCAGGGGTAAGCTCAGTAATGGATTATTGTAGACTTTTAAAATTTTAACATTATATTAATATTTGCTTAACTTAAAACATAAGCTTTAAATGAAATATTGAAAATAACAAAAGTTATGAATTCTTGAGTAATTTGTCTAGGGATCTCTGTTAATGTTGATAATAAATGTTAATAATAAGTTTATAGGTTAAATAACATCTATATAAATAAAATAAAGCAGTCTGTGCATTGAATAGAATCGACCCGTTTTATACATTACAGACACCAAAACCACTTTTAAAAACATTTTTGTCTGTCTGTTGTCCGCACTGCAACGAAATTTTGTCAGAGCTAAGCTCAGTAATGGATTATTGTAGACTTTTAAAATTTTAACATTATATTAATATTTGCTTAACTTAAAACATAGGCTTTAAATGAAAACAAAATATTGAATATAACCAAAGTTATGAATTCTTGAGTAATTTGTCTAGGGATCTCTGTTAATGTTGATAATAAATGTTAATAATAAGTTTATAGGTTAAATAACATCTATATAAATAAAATAAAGCAGTCTGTGCATTGAATAGAATCGTCCCGTTTCATGATATCTTTCCGTTTTATACATTGCAGACACCAAATCAACTTTTAAAAAAATTTTTTTGTCTGTCTGTCCGCTCTGCAACGAAATTTTGTCAGGGGTAAGCTCAATAATGGATTATTGTAGACTTTTAAAATTTTAACATTATATTAATATTTGCTTAACTTAAAACATAGGCTTTAAGTGAAAAAGAAATATTGAATATAACCAAAGTTATGAATTCTTGAGTAATCTGTCTAGGGATCTGTGTTAATGTTGATAATAAATGTTAATAATAAACATAAGTTTATAGGTTAAATAACATCTATATAAATAAAATAAAGGTTTTGTCTGTTCGTTGAATAGAATCAACCCGTTTTATGATATCTTTCCGTTTCATGCATTGCAGACACCAAAACCACTTTTTAAAAAAATTTTGTCTGTCTGTATGTCCGTACTGCAACGAAATTTTGTCAGGGGTAAGCTCAGTAATGGATTATTGTAGACTTTTAAAATTTTAACATTATATTAATATTTGCTTCACTTAAAACATATGCTTTTAATGAAAACAAAATATTGAATATAACCAAAGTTATGAATTCTTGAGTAATTTGTCTAAGGATCTCGGTTAATATTGATAATAAATGTTAATAATAAACATAAGTTTATAGGTTAAAGAACATCTATATCATAAAGGTTTTGTCTGTTCGTTGAATAGAATCAACCCGTTTCATGATATCTTTCCGTTTCATACATTGCAGACACCAAACCCACTTTTAAAAAAATTTTTGTCTGTCTGTATGTCCGCACTGCAACGAAATTTTGACAGAGCTAAGCTCAGTAATGGATTATTGTAGACTTTTAAAAGTTTAACATTATATTAATATTTGCTTCACTTAAAACATATGATTTTAATGAAAACAAAATATTGAATATAACCAAAGTTATGAATTCTTGAGTAATTTGTCTAGGGATCTCGGTTAGTATTGATAATAAATGTTAATAATAAACATAAGTTTATAGGTTAAATAACATCTATATAAATAAAATAAAGGTTTTATCTGTGCATTGAATAGAATCGATCCGTTTTATAGATTACAGACACTAAAGCCACTTTAAAAAAAAATGTTGTCTGTCTGGATGTCCGCATTGAAACGAAATTTTGTCAGGGATAAGCTTGACAATGGCTAATGGTAGACTTTTGAAATTTTGGCATTACATTTAGGTTTGCTTGACTTAAGATATAGGCTTTAATTAAAACCAAAATATTGGCTAGAACCAAAGTTATGAGTTCTTGAGTAATTTGTCTAGAGATCTCGGTTAGGCAGTTACTTCGATTTCCATCCCAACCTACTCTACCGCGAGCCACATTTAAAAGTTGTACTACCCATCGGATGGAAAAAAATTATCAAAACTAAACGAGAAAAAGCCGGAATACAGAACATTTGTTACGCGTTGTCACATAATATAACACACTCATTTTTCAACTTTGTCCGATCTTCCCGTTCAAGGTGTCATTCAGTTCAACTTCTCGAGCCTAAAAAATGTTGTCCTATACATTTTTAGGATTAACCCAACGGATTTGCCGGATATCAGGAAAAAAAACTCAAAAATTTCAAGCCGCCCGCCACAATATTCAGATCAAGTTCTAATTTTACACGGATGTAGATGAATCAATGTCCAATGTTATTTTGCTCAGCAGAGTTTAAAGAAGTGGAGAGACTACAACTCTTTTTGATTAATTAATCAACTCCACAATCTCCTTGTTTTATCATAAATGAAAATTATACACTTAAAACATTTTAATGGATCGATGGTGGTCGGTTTAGTTGTGTGGTATCTAAACAAATAGCCGAATATCAAAGTTTTTTTGATTATTGCGAAATCTTGACTTCCACAAGCCCCGCCATAAAAAATTTCAAAACAACCTCTCTTCTCCCTCCCGACCCAATTTTATGAAATTAAATTTGGACCCTCCTCCCCCCCATAATACAAAACCCATCTCAAAAAAAGGTTCTCTAATTTTAACTATACACCCGTCAACGATGGGTACATCAGCTAGTTGATCATAAAATCTAGAAAAAAAATCTGGTGCGCGCAACACACAACTTTCACTTACCGCTCTACTTGGAATAGAAATTATTTTCTGGCAATGTTGGTCTATTATAAAATGTTTGAAGTGCATTTTAAACGGAGCTAAAGCTTAAAGCCTACAGATAGGAAATCATTAAGGCCATTATAATTACAAAAAGTGTATTTATAATATCGATGGTAGGTAATAAACATCCAGTTTAATAAACCACATAACTTCAGTCTCTGAGCCTTTCAGTTGACAAAATGACTAACTCCAATTCCAAAATTTTTGAGTAATGTCATTTCAGTGATATTTCTAGTTGGAAAAGTTATATCTATAAAGACAGTGAGCAGCTAAGTCAAAAGTTGTCGCACTAATTGTAAGTGGATAATGTTGGGATTTCACAAAGGGAAAATTTGTCAAATTATTCACTAATTTAATTTACTTAAAAGGTAACTTCATGATTTTTTTTGGAATAAACAGCCGATAGATACCTAATTATTTAAATATAATATCATATCTAGAGTTATTAAACTATATACGTTATAAACCTATTAAATAGGTTATAAACGTATCCATGAAATAATTCTATATTTCACTTCTTCTTTCACACAAGTACAATTAAATAGTATTTCAAACAATGCCATTGTCTTGAATCCGTGGGTTTTAAATACTTTTTCAGGCTTAAAAAAAATTTAAAAGTTAGTAAGAAAATTTCATTTAATTTCCTTGAAAACATGTGATTAACGTTAAATAATATTAGTTTTCAATTTTTTTTTTTCGTCACTACCGTTACCTTCTACAACTTTATTTTTTTGATATTATTTTTTTTTCTAAAATTTTCCGCTTATATTATACGTATACCTTCTGACTATTATTTCTGGAGATTCATTTTCGAGCTGGATAAGCATTTTTATTTATTTCTTCAGTTTTCGATTATCATATTCTTTCAGACTTCATATTTAGCCATTTTTTATAGTTACTGTCAATGAGTTTATTTTTTCAAATAAACCATATTAAACGTACTTTAGAGGAAGACATATATGGGCATTGGCCATTTAAGCCCTGACTCATCTCAAATAATATATAAAAAAAAATTTTACTTGATAAAAATTTTTAAAAATGTTCCTTTAGTTATTGAATTTCATTTAATTTCCTTGAAAACATGTGATTAAAGTTAAATAATATTAATTTTCAAAAATAAATATTTATGTTTTTTTCATTACTTTCCGTTACCCTCTACAATTTTATTTATTTGATATTATTTTTTTCTAAAATTTTCCGCTAACGATATATTATACCTATACCTCCTGACTGCTATTAACGGATATTCATTTTCGAGCTGAGTAAGCATTTTTATTTATTTCTCCAGTTTTCGATTATCATATTCTTTCAGACTTCATATTTAGCCATTTTTTATAGTTACTGTCAATGAGTTAATTAACATTGGCTATTTAAGCCCAGACTCATATTTTTTTAAAACAATATCCAAAAAAAAAATTGTTAGAATTAATGTATATTTGAAAATATTTTAAATATATTTCTAGCATTTACCAACTATGCTTCAAAACATAAAACCATTATAACCATAAAATTTATAATATCGACGAAAGTCACTTCATATAGTTTTATTAACTACACAACTTCAGTCTCTGAGCCTTTCAGTTGACAGAATGAATAACTCAAATTTCAACATTTTATAGTAATGTCATTTTAGTGATATTTTTATTTGAAAAAGTTATATCTATACAGACAGTGAGTAAGTTGATTCCGGAGTAGGTGATTGCATTGTTGAAATATATAACTTTGAATTAAGGTATACATTTTGCCACTAGAAATGTATCACCAATCAAGCAATCACCTACTCCGGAATCAACTTACTCACTGTCTGTATAGATAACTTTTTCAAATAGAAATATCACTAAAATTAATAATAAAGAATGTTGAAATTGGAGTTAGTCATTCTGTCAACAGAAAGGCTCATATATGCCACAGAGGT